TAAATTTCCATTTTTTCCCGGGGGGTCAAAATATAAAACCGCCCGTTAAAATATAAAAAAAAAAAAAAAAAAAAAAAAAAAAAAAAAAAAAAAAAAACCTATATATATAAACCGCACCGGGCTATAAGCCGCTGGTATCTCCGTCGCTCTCGGTTTTCCATAAGGACCCAGCAGAGGGCAGCAGAGGGAGAGTCCTAATAAATCTGCTATTAAGGACGCAGGCCTCCGTGTCCAAAGCCGAGCCGTGGTTTCGTACAGCAGCTCTACAGCCAGATTGATAACCTTCAACTTAAAACTTGCATCATATGAGTTTGAAAGCATTTCTCCGTCGTGCCTGCTGCTAGCATATGCTTGTTAGCACTTTCTTCTTTGATTTCCAATTTTGACTTCCAATGATTCACTTCTTGCTAAAGCGCCCCCCGGTGGTTGAAGAAAAATCCACAGAAAAGCCGCACCAGGGTTTAAGCGCATGGTTCAAAGCGAAGGAAAAAAGTAGCGGCTTATAGTCTGAAAAATACACTAGTTACTACCAGCTCTGCAAGTGATCAAATATCCAGCCAGAATTATGACTAAAATTGATAGCTATGAAAGCTGAGGCATATTTACTAAATATCAGTGGGATGTCTATATTCAAGTCTGCATGTATATTTTTTAGTCTGTGTGGATAAGAGAAAAGCTGCAAAAAAAGTAATTCCTCTTCAAAATGTTTGTGCATGAAGTGCATGTGAAATATCTATAATTTGTCCCTTTTGGATTTAATTGCATTGATATTATTTTCACTTGCTAAAAATAGTGCTACAAAAATATTTTCCAACTAAATTGGAAAATATTTACTCAAAAATGTAAGTATTTTTCATTCCCAACTCCAATCTGTGACACCAATACAACAAAGCATGACGCACCACCAGACTAATGATTCTCCCTAAACGATTGTACAACCTGTATTCCTTGGCACTGTTGACTATTTCCTTCCTTCTTACATTTGAAGTTCAATGGAATCCAAGCAAGAATAGTGTAAAATATCTCTTGAAAAACGTGTCATCTGTTTTCAGAACTCTCTAATTAATTTCTCCTCTTTTTTCTCAGATCCTTGCGATCATCTCCATCCTCTTCATTGTGCTGTCCACCATTGCCTTGTCTCTGAACACCCTCCCAGAGCTGCAGGACACCGACGAGTTTGGCCAGCCCACGGACAACCCACAGTTGGCTCATGTGGAAGCTGTTTGTATTGCCTGGTTCACCATGGAGTACCTGCTCCGCTTCCTCTCCTCTCCAAACAAATGGAAGTTCTTCAAAGGTCCCCTCAACATCATCGACCTGCTGGCCATCCTGCCCTACTACGTCACCATCTTCCTGACAGAGTCCAACAAGAGTGTGCTGCAGTTTCAGAACGTCCGCCGTGTGGTTCAGATATTCCGGATCATGCGGATCTTGCGAATCCTGAAGCTGGCCCGTCACTCCACAGGTCTTCAGTCTTTGGGCTTCACTCTCAGGAGGAGCTACAATGAGCTGGGCCTGCTTATCCTCTTTCTTGCCATGGGCATCATGATCTTCTCAAGTCTGGTGTTCTTTGCTGAGAAGGATGAAGAGGACACCAAGTTTAAAAGCATCCCTGCCTCCTTCTGGTGGGCTACCATTACTATGACCACAGTAGGTTATGGAGACATTTACCCAAAAACCCTGCTGGGAAAGATAGTCGGAGGTTTGTGCTGCATTGCAGGGGTCTTGGTGATCGCCTTACCTATTCCTATTATTGTAAATAACTTCTCAGAGTTTTACAAAGAACAGAAGAGGCAGGAGAAAGCCATCAAAAGGAGAGAGGCTCTGGAGAGGGCGAAGAGAAATGGTAGCATTGTCTCAATGAACATTAAGGATGCCTTTGGCCGTAGCGTGGAACTCATGGACGTCATGGTGGAAAAAACCGACGAGAGGAAGGAGAAGCTCCATGACAATCACGTGTCACCACACAGAGGAACACCCAGGATCAAGTCACCGCTGAACCCCAGTAGTCCCAGTAAGACTGCTGAGTCCAGCTTCCAAGAAAAGGAAAAACCAGCCAGCAGTCCTCAGCATCTCAGCGCACAGAAACTTGAGGAAATATACAACAACATGACAAAAGCACAGTCACAATCAAACTTCAACAGCAAGGAAAAAGCGTCACATTCGAAGTCAGCCAGGCAGAAAGCTGAGTTTGAGATGGGAAGCATCCTCCCCGAGGCCGTGACTGGCACAGCGGAGGGAGTGACAGACATGAAGAGCATCTCCAGCATCGACAGCTTCATCAGCTGCGGACCTGACTTTCCTGAGAGCTCCAGATTTTCACACAGCTCCGGGAGCAACATGCCTGGAAGGGTCAGCACCAACCCCAGCCTGGAGCCCACCCTGGAGAATGAGCATGAGGGATCGCATGGTGCCACCAGCCCCCAGTCAGACAAAAGCACCAAGCTCAAAAACGACAGCCCAAGAGCTCCGTCACTAAACAACCCAATGAAGGGGCGTTCACTTAAAGTTAGAGTCAGAGGCGGGGAGGACTCAGGGAAAGGAGGTCTCTCTGACAGCTCATCGATCCAAACCCCAGAGACATCTGTCTACACCACTGCCAGCAGCAGGACGCCCAGCAAGAGCCCCGAGAACTTACGGCCAAGCATCTTCACATTCCACGACTCATCTGTCAGCAAGTTCATCGACGCCGACACGGACGAGGAGGAGCACCTGCACGACAGTTCGACGGCCAACGTGACCCAAAGACTTTTGGAGAGACCCAGCCCCAGGTTTGCTCAGCTCTCTGGCTTTCAACAGGGTCCCAACCACATGGAGGGCCTCGCTAAGAAGCTGGGGAACAGCACCCTGCCGCTGGAAGGACAGGAAAACCACATTTCGCCAGAGCTGCGGCCGCTTCAGGGGGAGAAGCGTCAGTATAACTCTTAGAGTTGATTAAAAGGAACGGCTTGCACAGAGGATACAAAGAAGAGGAAGATATAAGGGATCGCAGACGAAAAGCTCAGAGACTTGTCTGGGAACAATTTGCAGGAAAACTGAAAGGACAAAAAGGCTTTTCCTACAAAATTACAACACCTGTGGATCACTGGAAATAGTGTTGTTATCTTCTCTAAAATGTTCCTGATGATAACAATCAGAAACGCCCTCAGAGTGGAAGAATAGGAGTTGTTGTTTTTTTTTTTTTTGCTATTTATACGAGCCCAGGTTATAATGCCATCATTAGACTAGCCGCAGGAGTCTAGTCTATAATTTTTATAACCTGTTTTCTGAGAACCCTGGATAAAATGTTAAAGCCACTGCAGCCAAAGCTGTCAAATCTTAGTGAAACATAAAGGGCATCAAAACAAGGCACAATAAGAGGAGATATTTTAAAATCCTCAATTGCAGTATGAAAGGAAGACATACATCTTCTCTCCCTACAGTGTATATTTATATACATTGTATGTTTCAAAGGCGGAGGGTGGAGAACATGTTCTTTCTTCCTACAACTTCCTTTAAAACTGGCCTTAGTTCATGTTGTCCTGTGTTTTACGTTTTGATGTTGAGGAGGAAAGCCTGAGGCAGGCTGAACGATAGCACATAAGTATCTCTGTGTGAGTGTGTGTGTGTGCGTGTGTGTGTGTGCAATAACTACCTTTCACTTATATTTATTATGTAGCAATAGTCGTCTTTCATCTTACGTCAGATCTTCGGCAGAGTGAAGTGTTTCGGTCTGTTTCTTTCAAACAGCTCAGCGTTTCTCCTGGGTTGGCATTTTTACTGCACAGATTAAACTGTGAGGTCACGTCCATCCTCGTCATTCATTGGTGGCGAGAGAGAAAACATCGTTTTGGAAATGTTGCACTCTTGTTTTTCTTGTTATGATCAGTGGCGGCTCTGGATATGGGAAATACGGCTTTCTACCCAGAATGATGCCTCACCAGGGGGCGCAATAGAGGAGCAAAAGCTGAAAAGTTACTTGTCTGTGGTGAAAACAGGTTTTATTTGGGACCCAGTGGCTCCCTGCGGTGTGCAGAGTGCAGGCATTGTAATAAAATATTGTTGTACATCATTATGATGCTAAAGTTGGTGTCTGAGTCTTAGCTCAAAATTCTGAACCGCCTTTTTACCCTTATGTGGATTATTCTTCGCTCAACAAATTTCTACACATACATTTTAAGATTTATGATGCACTTATAGCTACTTTTTTTTTTTTTGGTAAAAAAAAAAAAAAAAAAAAAAAAAAATTTTTATTGTTTTTTAAAATTAGGATCACATTAAGCTAAAATAAGCATAAAACCTTGTCAAACATGTAGTAGTTTATGTTAAATTGATTCCAGATGGTCTGTTTTTTTTTTTACTAAATGATGACCTTGGTGACCTGATGCATTTCTTCCACTCAGAGGAATGGGAGTGTGATTGGCTGTCAGCAGGGAGACAGAAGGAGCAGCTCCCCAGGAACCGCCACTGATTAAAACCTTTATTCTAAATGTCTGAGTGTGTCCTCAAGTTTGGGTTACATTTTTCCATCAGTCGTTTTTTTGTTTTTTGTTGTTTTTTGTTTTTTGTTTTGTTTTTTATTTAAGCTTCAAGCAGTTGTAGCGGATGAGGTGAACTTTGCATTAAGCGACAGGAGACAGCAGAGAAAAAAAAAAATCTGTTTTGTATGAGTGTAAATATTGTACATGCATCCGTGCGAAGCCAGACTCTACAACGACATTACGCATCACCTGTACAAAATTTTAAAAAGTAATTTATATTTTTAAGATATTTTCTAAAACAACTGACATGTTGTGGTAACCTCATAGTTATGCATCTGAAAGCACCGTATGTGCTGTATCTCGTCGAGGGAGTTGCTACTGTTAGACAACATTCTGCAGCACATAGATTTATATTTGCTACAGTCTCTCTGTACGCGCTTGTTGCAGTCTTTTTGTGCAATGTAAAGAACCAAAGAATTGTTCTTTCTGATGACATGTACAGACGGCTGTACATCCTGATGTTTTATCTCAAAATGTTGGAGCATTCCTTTAAAAAAGAAAAAAAAAACGTAATCAGAGTTATTTCAGGGAGCCGTATTTGCTCATGCGGGGCAAACATATAAGCAGGAGGAGGATATTCTGGGGTTCTAACAAAACAGCTTTGAAAAATAAGTTTCATTTTATGTTTCTTGGCAGGTTAATCGCTTTCAAAAGATAAAAGGGTGTGTATTGCCTGCACTTAGACACCAAATGTTCTGCATTTTGCTCTTTTCTTAAATGCACCTGATGACACCAAACCTGGTGCTCTCACACTAACTTAATTTAAAACATACAAACCTTATGATATATGTCTTGCAAGCATGAATCAAAGCAACTTTTTGCAGGAAACATACATTATAGTGGACCTATTTAATGTAGATGGTTTTCATTAGAGATACAAGTGCCAGCCGTGTTCATTGGAAAACCTGGTAAAGATGTGTAAAAGCCACTAATGGTCAGTTACAATTGCAGTAACATATTATCGCGCAAATGAAAACAGCTTTAATTTGAGGGCATTTATCCAGTACAGAAAAACATCACATACTGTAAAACCCTCTTTTTCACTTTTTCTTTTTCTGTAATATTTTAAAATCTGGGAGAATTTGCAGAGTATTTTGTTTAAAACATCCATCTAGCCTCTCTTATGCTCTCTGGAATGTTTTTTTTTTCTATTTCTTTAACAATTTTGTGTTAATCTAATCACATGTTTTGACTCACTATCACACTGAAGGAGCCAGTTGCAACCTATTTTCAGTTTTTCTGGCAGAGAAAATCTCCCTGGTGAGACAGAACCACTGAAAACAGCGGATCTGAAGTGATTCTGATTCAGTTTTTGCAGTGGTGAAAGGTTTTAATGTGTGTGCAGGACAACAGCAGCTGCAGAAAAGAGGAAGTGAACCTGCCGCCGAGGCCATGTGGGGGACGGCTTCCGTAAATGCTCTAACTTTAACACTGATCTAAAATTCCTACACTTAAGGATGACAATACTTTTACATTTTAAGCAAAGAAAAACTATATCTAATTGTGATCTGATACGAGAGGTTTGTTCTTTTCCTTGTGTTTGAGCTTGGTTTCTTCATAAATACATCTCTGGAAATAACAACCAATTTGTCCTGTTGCTTCAAAGTTCAGCAAATGAAACTTGACCTCCTCTCCCAGATTCTTCCACACTTTTATTGCAACGCTGGCAGCGGCGGTAATGTTCTTAACTCGAAGAGGGCCGCCAAATCAAATTCTGCTTTATGACCTGTACAACCAGCCACGGTTCAATTCTTCCAAAATTGTCAGTGTGAGATTTTGCTGCAGGGATAAAATATGAATTTATTCTCAGGCTTTTTTTAACATCTTCACCAGGAGTCCCAACAAATATGTCTGGCACTGTGGTATGAGTTAGATATTTCTGTGCCTTTGCTTTTAATATCACCCTGCATTCTGAATATGCCCTAATGGAGTCTGAATAACGAGCAAATAAACACAAAAAGGACAGAGTACTCATCCTGTGGAGCTTTTATGTTTGTTTCTTTTTTTAAACTCTAATGTCTCTCTCTCTCATGCACCAAACATTTGGATGGAAAAAGTCCAGAAACACGAGCAGGTGCCGGCTCACTCTCGGCAGACTGAACGGTTTCCATGGTGAGGGGCTGAGATGACTGGATGGCTCACATTTGATGCACGCATGTAGCCTAATTTACTCGAGGACGGTTACAGACTTGATCTTAATCAGTTCCTTTATTCATCTCAGTTGTGTCTTCAGTTCAGGGGAAGAAGCAGAAAACTGGATTGTGGGTCTTTCAGTCAGACTGTCCACATCGTCACTTTTATGTCACTCGGTTGCTTTCGCGGAAACATGCACCCGTCTCCGCAAATCACAAAAGAGCAGACGGAGCGTGGCCACACGGACCTGGGTGTGACCCGCTGCTTCAGGGATGGATGTTGATGAAGAAGACTTCAGCCACCTTGTTCCTGAAGGGAGGGAGGGAGTGTGAAATGTGAACAGAGCGGGAACAAGGAGTGTGCGACAGACGGACCGAGCTCCAGAGTTATCAGCTTGATTTAAACTGACATCCTGAATGACGGCTGGAGCGCTCTGCTTCCCAAAGTCATGGCTAACTTCTGCTTTGAAAAGGACTCACCATAGCTTCAACTTTTCACCTTTTGTCTCATGACAAACACAAACGTACTGGGATTCTATGTGAATCTTAAAGCGCATAAGTGTGAAGTCGACAGCAAGATGTGCATTTTTAAAGCTTTTGCCCGTGTTTAGCTTTCATCATTACTCCCTAAATAAAATACAGTGCAACAACTAACCTACAAATTCACCTAATCAGTAAATTAAGTCCACCTGTGTGTAATGTAATCCTAGTATAAACTGCACATATTATGTGAAGGCCTCAGAGGTTTGTTAAAGAAAAAAAAAAAAGGTGAACAAACAGCATAATGATGACCAAAACAAAATTGATGGTGAAATGGTTCAAACCATAGTTAGGTTAAAGCAATATCCTGAGCTTTGAGCTTTAAACATCACACAGACCTCTGTTCAATCCAGATGTATGGAGATATGTCCTTCCACCTGACCGAATGACGTAAAGAGACAAGAAGCCAAGCGGACCGTGGGAACTCGGATCAAAGTCTTGCTGGAATAAAACTATAAGAAGTTCCATTTAAAATCTCACCCATGTTGAGGCCACATCAAACATCTGGAAGACGTTTCTCTAATAATCCAAAACTCAAACAGAGCAGTATTTGTTTCAGAGGACTGACGTTGCACATCGACAGAAAAACCTGCTTGAAGGAAGCAAAAGATTTTGACAATGAGATGGAGGTTCACCTTCTAGCACGAAAAAGTCCAGCCAGAGATAAAGTATGATTGTTTATATCAAACTATATTCATGTGTTAGAATAGCCCAGTTCTGTCAAATTCAAATGAGAATCTGAAAACGGATCTTCACAGATGTTCTCCACCCAGTGTCATCAGGCTTCAGCTTGCAACTTTAACTGCAGTGAAATGGCTCTTCTAAAAGCATCTAAAGCATTTTTTTAATCCATATGTCATTTTCCCTCCACTTCACATTTATGCACCGTTTTCTGTGGGGAATACATTTAGGATTGTGGCTGTAATATGACAAATTGTGTAAAAGTTTTAAGGGTTGTGACTTCTTTCAAATTGCAAGGTGCACTAACTTCTACTGAGCTCTGCTCGTGCTTGACAACGATGCAATCTTAAAAACAAAAAACTGAGCTCCGTCAGAGCCAGGACACGAGCAAGGCTCTCGTGGGTCTGTGTGTGCGAGTCCTAGTTCTGTTTTGTTTTGTTTTCCCCTCATGACGGCGCAAAGGCAGGCTGCAGCATCCTTTTGAGGATGAGTTCGCATCTCTAATTCTATAAATATCCCCTTGGCTACGCACAGGGTTTGGTCCTACAGGAAGGGCTTGGTTACAGCAGCGTTGTCATGCATTTCAGAAGAACACATTTTGTAACAAAATACTCCAGAAACGGATGGAGAAAAAAAAAAAACAGTGGAGCTTATTGGGAACTGCGGAGTCACTGGTGTGTGGGCTTTTTTTTTTTTTTTCTTCCTTTGTCAGTCCAGTCTTTAGCAATGCATGGTAATGGAATAAAAATGTCAAACTGACAAATGGTTGTATGACCTTCTCTACAAGAGAGGTGTTGGAGACAGAAGAGAGGAGCAGATAGAAAACGGGGAGGTGTGCAACACGCTGAAGGATCAGGGTTCATTAGCATTCATCACAGTCAGACATGCAGTAAATCCCTAAAAACGAGCCTCTAATTGTCGCCGAATCTCTTGCAAAATAAGCCATAGCAAATTTAGCAGATGCGGCTCCTTTCTGTGTTGGATGAATGGTAAATATTTTCCTCATAGCTTTTTGTATTTTCTGAATTGCACTTTGTTGGATTGTCTGAAGGAAGTCCTCTGTTGTCTTGTATTAATTGAAATATTGATATAGAACACATTTTGGGTTCAACTACTGTCTAACAACACACACACACACACACACACACACACACACACACACACACACACACACACACAAAAGACTTCAAAGAACGAGGTTGTCACATTCAAAAACAGACAAATTATTCTTGAATCATCCCGCTCCTTCAGGGAAACAATCAGTCTTCTTGAAGGTACGTGGTTCTCTGTGTGCTGCCCTCATGATGTGGTTGAGAGAAAATGTTTTGTAAAAGTTTCAGACTTTGTACTTGTTGAGTTTGTAGAAGAATATGTTTTTTTGTTTTTGTTCTTTTGCTTTCCCTGTTTTCCTCAACACATGTAGCGCTATATGACACAAAGTACATGTAAATATAATCAGAAAAGCTGTAGGAAAACGATTTTCAAGCCTATTTCTTCTTTTACCGACTGATGCTTAATAAAAGACGATAAACTAGCCGTGGAGTCTCGTTGTTTCCACAGAAATGTCTCACGTCTAATGATGACACGCAGAGCGCCAGCTGCTGCGGGCCAAACAGATCCGAGTTTATGGGAATCTTACCCGACAGCGACCTCTGGTGGTT